GGGTGGCATTGTCCCGGGTCCCCTCCCCATGGGATTGTCCCGTGTCCCCTCCCCTGGGTGGCATTGTCCCATGTCCCCTCCCCATGGGATTGTCCCATGTCCCCTCCCCTGGGTGGCATTGTCCCGTGTCCCCTCCGCTGCTCAGCCGGGATCCCTGGGGACAAACGCACAATTCCTGCTTGGGCCCGTGGAGGAGCAGGAAGGTCCCGGGACATGCGGGGCCCTCCAGGCTGGTGCCGTGCTGCTGGGGGGGCCGGGGCTGGCGCTGGGGACACTGGGGACACTGGGGACACCAGGGACAGCGCCCTGCCACGCTCCCGCAGCCGGCGGGGCGAGGTGCTGGCGAGCCGCAGGGATTTCCGCATGAACACCTCCACCCCGCACGCCTCCGGCGCCTTCCTGCTGGAGCTGGCCGGGCTCTCCCCCACGCACCCGCAGCAGGAGCAGCGCCTGGGCACGGCCACAGGTACCTGGGGCTCTGGGGTGGCCGTGCCACTGTCACTGCCACTGCCAGCACTCACCTGTCGCCGTCCCCAGCAGCAGCTCCGCGATCCGGCCCCGCGGAGCGTCCGAGCGCCGCCTCCGGCACGGCGCTGGTGCGGGCACTGAGCTTCTGCGAGGAGGAAGGTGAGGGTGGCACTGCCCGGGGCTCCCCGTGTCCCTCAGGGCGCTGCAGAGGAGGGTGAGGGGTGGATTGATCCCTGCCAGGAGGGGACAGCCAGCACTGGGCTCTGCTCCCAGGGAACAGGGACAGGAGGAGAGGGAACGGCCTCAGGCTGGGCCAGGGCAGCCTCGGGGTGGATTTTGGGGAATTCCCGCCTGGAAAGGGCTGTGCAGCCCTGGCACAGGGATGGAGTCCCCGTCCCTGGAGGGGTTGAACATCCCTGTGGATGTGGCACCCAGTGGTGGCCCTGGCAGTGCTGGGAATGCTTGGATTTGGGCTCTGAGGGGTTTTCCAACCCAACCGACTGCCCCATTCCCTGCTCCTGCCCTCTGCTGCCCCTGCCCTGGCAGGAGAAGCTCCTGAGGGAACTCCTCAGCAGACAGGGTGGGAATGGCGAGTCCTGGAAGCTTCTCCAACCTCTGCCCATTCCCACCCCTCCAGGTGCTGCAGAACCTGACGATGACGACATTCCCGAGGCCCTGGGGAATGACATGGAAGTGATCCCGGCCCCTAGCGAACACATTGAGGCTCAGAGGGTCTGTGTGGGCTTGGGGGCTGCCTGTGCTCCTTCCCTGGAACCCCACAGCCCCTCACTCCTTCCCCAGAGCCCCCCACTCCTTCCCCAGAGCCCCAGAGCCTTGTGTTCCTTCCCTGGAACCCCAGAGCCCCCCCACTCCTTCCCCAGAGCCCCCCACTCC